GGACAAGGTTCAATTCACCCTCTCCGAAGCCCGATCCGCCAACCAACAGGACCTCCGTCTTGTCTGGATTGCGCTTCAGTTTATTGGCCGTCATCCAGCCTATTACCTCGGCCAGGCACCGGTTCAGCACAGCCACTGCCTCACCTGGATTGGTGGAAAACGAGAGGTAGAGCTGGGTATCATTAGCGTACTGATGGTTCCGCAGCCCACACCTCCTGATATATAATGATCCTTCATTAGTTACTAATTTGCTTCAAGGCTCAATTCAAGGTACTGTTTTCACCTTTAAAGCCTTGAATGGCCTGGAGCCATAATATAGCAAGAACTGCATCTCTTCCTACAGCCTCTTCTTAGAATTCTGTTTTATGTTGGGGCTTTCCTGAGGTCCCTCTCCTGCTGATGTATGACAGATGAACTCATGGAAGAGGTCCTTCTTCAGCCATGGCACTCAAGACGTGAAACAAATCTAGGTTCTAGTCCCCGCTTGGCCATGGAGCCAACTTGGAGACTTTGGGCCAGTAACAGACTCTCAGCCCAACCTACTTCACAGAATTGTTGTGTGGGGATAAGACTGAGAGCAGCAGGAAGAGAAAGATGTAAGCCACTGTGAGTTCTTTAAAAGCAAAAAAGGCAAGATATAAATCAAATAAATACATACATACATACATACATACATACATACATACATCTTCTAAGAGTTTACACTTGGTTAGAGCCACTGGTTCCCCCACCACTACTTCCTTTTAATTATACAATGAAAAGAGTCAAGTTTCAATGCAGAGTTTAGATCTATGCTGTGTTGTTGTTAGTTGCGAAGTCATGTCCGACCCATCACGACCCCATGGACAACATTCCTCCAGGCCTTCCTGTCCTCCACCATCCCCTGGAGTCTACTTAAGCTCACACCGACTGCTTCAGTGACTCCATCCAGCCACCTCATTCTCTGCCGTCCCCTTCTTCTTCTGCCATCTATTGTTCCCTGCATTAGGCTCTTCTCCAGGGAGTCCTTCCTTCTCATTAGGTGGCCAAAGTATTTGAGTTTCATCTTCACTATCTGGCCTTCTAAAGAGCAGTCAGGGTTGATTTCCTCTAGGACGGACTGGTTTGATCGCCTTGCGGTCCAGGGGACTTGCAGGAGTCTCCTCCAGCATCACAATTCAAAGGCCTCAATTCTTTGGCGCTCAGCCTTCCTTATGGTCCAGCTTTCACAGCCATACATTGCAACTGGGAAAACCATAGCCTTGACTATAAGCACTTTTGTTGGCAGGGTGATGTCTCTGCTTTTTAGTATGCTGTCTAGATTTGCCATAGCTTTCCTCCCCAGGAGTAAGCGTCTTTTAATTTCTTGGCTGCAGTCCCCGTCTGTGGTGATCTTGGAGCCCAGAAAAATAAATCTGTCACTACCTCCATTTCTTCCCCATCTATTTGCCAGGAAGTGAGAGGACCAGATGCCATGATCTTAGTTTTCTTAATGTTGAGTTTCAAACCAACTTTTTTGCTCACCTCCTTCACCCACATCAAGAGGCTCTTTAGTTCCTCTTCACTTTCTGCCATGAGAGTGGTATCATCTGCATATCTGAGGTTGTTGATATTTCTCCCAGTAATCTTAATTCCAGCTGGTGATTCTAGGCCTGCCTTTCTCATGATGTGCTCTGCATATAAGTTAAATAGGCAGGGCGACAGTATATAGCCTTGCCGAACTCCTTTCTCAATTTTGAACCAATCAGTGGTTCCGTGTCCAGTTCTCACTATTGCTTCTTGACCCGCATATAGGTTTCTCAAGAGACAAATAAGATGGTCAGATACTCCCATCTCTTTAAGAACTTGCCACAATTTGTTGTGATCCACACAATCAAAGGCTTTAGCATAGTCAATGAAGCAGATGTTTTTCTGGAACTCCCTAGCTTTCTCCATGATCCAGCTTATGTTGGCAATTTGATCTCTAGTTCCTCTCCCTCTTCAAAATCCTGCCTGTACTTCTGGTAGTTCTCGGTCCACATACTGCTGGAGCCTAGCTTGTAGGATTCTGAGCATAACTTTGCTAGCGTGTGAAATGAGTGCAATGGTGAGTAGTCTGAACATTCTTTGGCATTGCCCTTCTTTGGGCTCGGAATGTAAACTGACCTTTTCCAATCCTGTGGCCACTGTTGAGTTTTCCAAATTTGCTGGCATATTGAATGTAGCACAACTTCAGCCTCTTCAGCATCAGTGGTTGGGGCATAGACTTGGACTACTGTGATGTTGAATGCTTTGCCTTGGATTCAAACTGAGATCATTCTGTCATTTTGGAGATTGTATCCCACTACTGCTTTTCCTACTCTTTTATTGACTATGATTTAGGTCAGATCTATGTTATCTGGCCTAAAATAACCACAGCTGTCTTGACTTTTGATAAGTATCTCCCTAATGTTTGGCTGATTAACATGACATCTAAATAAATAAATGTATTGGACATGCTTTTGTTTTTATTGTTTGTATTATGCTGCTACCTTAACCTTATCCTTCTGAGTCACTTTGAATACGGTGTAGAAAGGCAGGATTTCAACAGTAAAACAAGGGCCAGGCATGTATATCAGACTGAAAAACTTGACATCTGCATTATACCACGTGTCCTTTGCATGTGCTCAGACTGAAAATGGGTCAAGCCAAACAAGCAAATTATGGGTCTGTTCTCTTTGACTGCTAGTGGTGCAGTAACTGCAAACAACTAGAAGTTGATTTTAACTAAAAACAAAACACACAATTCTGAGAACGCTTGTCTAATTCATGTTTATTCCATCTTCTTTAGATTTGTGTTCAAGGAATTGTTCATCAAAATCATTTAAGGTACTACTTAACATGTTCTTTTCTGTTCTGAAAAATTTTTGATAGCTAAAGGAGCACTATAAAACGGAGCTAACATTTCAAGTCAAGATGATATAATCACTGGTTTAATTATCCCACCATGGATAGATACCCAAGCTGTCACCTATTTGCCCTATTCATTTTTATTTTCACTTCAGCAGTCTTACCTAAAAACAAAATAAACATATAAATACAGCCCTTCAAGCTTGGGAACTTAGAATAGGTGCCCAATACTGCCTCAGCGTATTGGTACACTCAGTCTGGTACTCTGAGCAGTTTCTGATTCCTGTGAAAGTGTTTATAATACAGAGCTTTAAAAGACATATGCCGGTATATGAAATGTGTGCTTTGAGTAAACCGCACACTTCCCTGTTTACTCAATGGCCTGAGGAATTTCTGCTTTTATTCTCTTCCCCACTTTCTCTGCTTAACCTGTACCTCAGATCTATCGTAAAGATAAAATAGGTGTATCTATCTCTGTATCCCTTGAGTTCTTTAAAGAAAAGGAGAGAGAAAAACAACATTCTTAGAGAACACTGATCTATGCTGACTTCATATGACCAGAAAACTGTAGGCTACAGTCCTCTGCCCACTACAGCCCTCTTACCCACTTGGGGGAAATCGTATTGAAGGCATCTAGGACTGCAATCCGAAGGAACTGCTCTGGGACAAGTTGCACTGAGGCTCACGTTTTCGTTAACAAAAGATCTTGCTGAAAGTGGTCGACATCATCCGGAAAATGCCCTTTCCCTACCGAATTTTACCTTCAGACGAATCTAACGCAAGTGGGCAATACCTTCATTGGGGCCTAACCCAATCTCACCAAAGGCTGAGCAGCAAGTTAGCGCGTTTCTCACCCTTTTGGGGCGGTCTTCGCAAAACTATTGCTCAGTCGTGAATTTGGAGTTTTCGAACGGAAAACTTGCTTCTGATAGAATGGTAGTGGCACCCCCACGGCCTTTTCTTTCTCCGATTCCTGTTCTTATTATTTCTGCATCCAGAAAGCGAGAGGAGCGCGCCCCTCACAGGCAAACAGGAGCTTGTGACCCACGTGCTGGGGGGGCGGTCGAGGCCCGCGGGTCTCCCCCGGTGGCAAAGGCGAGCAAGGTACGCGCGGCGAGGGGATGCCGGGCAGGCTCCGCCCGCTGCAGCGTAGGCAGTGGGCGGCGCTCGCCAGGGATTACGAGAAGCCGGTGTCGCCGGAGCGGAGCGGGGTCGCCCGGCCGAAGGGGCCACCGCTTCGGTCCTCAGGCGCCCGCCTCGGCAGGAGCCGCCATGCGAGGGCTGTTGCCTCTTCTCTGGCGGCCTCTCCGGAGAACTGCGGCCACGGGACCTCCGGGGCTGGGCAGGCTATGCAGCGGCGCCTCGACGGCTTCCGGAAAGAGCGACGCGGCCACTCAGGTAACCGGCGCTGGGTCCCCCGCCCCGGGCTGCTTCAGGGCGGCGGTGACGCCTTGCTCCTCGTTCTCCTCCTCGGCCCCGACCGCGCCGCGAGAGGAAGAGCGGGCAGAGGCCATTCAAACGTGCGGCGGGACCTCTTGGAAACAAGTTTGTGTGCAGTCGGCCGCGTGGGTTTGGGCTGCGCGCGCGCGTTTCCCAAAGCAAAAGATGGGCGAGCGGGATGAATAGAATGATAACGCTCCTTTCCTAGCACACCTCGTAATCTTGTGCCACTGGTCTGATTTTATCCTGTGCTGTTCTATGTGTGTTGCGGTTTTTCTTTGGACTCTTTTGCAAGCTCCGTGGAAATGCTAATTATCCGCTGAAGGGCGGAGTCTAAACTTTAGAAATAAATAGCAACCCCGGGGAGGAAGAGGAAATTTCTATTACTCATTCATCTCTTCTTTTAAAAGCATCTGTTTCCTTTTTCTCCTTTGTCCCTCTAAGTTTCTATCATTGCATCTTTCTGTCTTTCTTTGTTCGTTCTTCTTCCTTCCTGACTTGGATCTGTCTCTTCTCCATTCATTCACTCACATTTTTTAAAAATCCCCATGCCTCACTTCTACCATTTCTGTTATTATTCTCTGTGTAGCAAATGTCCCTACTATTAATTTATTATTAATTATATTTCTGCCCTGCCTTTTTTCCTTCCAAGGAACTCAAGTCAGCTTACACAATTCTCCTCCTCCCCTCAATCATATGCTCACAACAGGCAGGTTGGGCTGAGAGTCTGTGACTGGTGTGTCAGATACAGAAAACTGCACTCTCAGAGTAAGCAGGTGAGCAAGCAGAAGGCAGTGGTTGTATGCTTGTGGTTCTACCACCATCTGCTCACCTGAGCAGGTGACTACCAGGTTCTCCTACACTGATCCTACTCATGGGTTAATTGAAATGAAAGGGACTTGACATAGGCTGGCCCTGGATAATTGCCGGTTGCCTCTCTCTCTAAGCGGTGTAGATAGCAGCTGGGAGCAGCTGCTGCCATCTCCAGACTCTCTGGGAGGTAGCAGTTGGGACTGGGTTCCAGTGAGGGAGATGGTGAACGGAGGCTCACAAGTGCTTGCTCAATCCCTGCTGACCATCCCTGGTCACGGATGCTGGGGCCTGGGCGTGTGCAGTGGTACTGACCTGTTATGTTAGCCTGCGTGCCTCTTTTTCACAGATGCAGTCTCATTTTTGTTAACTTTATCCTGCTTCCAGCCTGGGATTCTTGTGGAAACAGGAACATCCTGATGATATGAACTACAACATAGCCTTGGACCTCTTTTCTGTCTTTCCTTGCGCCACCTGCTCAGTATTTCTCAACTTTTTCATTCATCACCACAGAAAAGGGCCAGAAATTCTGAATGACCCAAGTCCCAGTCCAACATGCTAACCACTGACTTAAGGATATCACAATTCAAGATCATAGTACATTTGTATTACATACAGATATGTTTTAAGCAAGGGTTTGGATTGTAAAAAAAGATACTAAAACTGAATGGCCTTTAACAATGGGGACATTCTAATGGTGGTATGTAAATATAATCATTTAATAAAGATATAATAGCAAAGAACAATTACCCACCTGGCCTTTAAGTATATGCTGCTTTGTTCATCACCGCTGAGTTAACCAAGCACAGTTGTTCCTATTTGCTGTTACGGAGAGGAGCTTCTTGGATGAAAGATAAACATTCATGTCAGTCTTGCAATGTTGTCTTGGGTGAACAGTTTGAACTAGGGTGATTTTGGCCTTATTTCTATGTAATTCAGAGCTGCAGAACCAAATCCAGGCCACACTCCTTTTCCCCAACCACCAACAGTTTGGTGCTTTCTGAGCTTTTATGCTGTTCCCCCCTATTCTAAAAGGTTGACATGCTTCTAAGGCTCAATTACTGGCAATACGAGCTGCAATATGCTGGCAAGGTTGTAAGCTGCCTTGGGTTCCTTCAAGAAAAAGTTTAGATGTAAATGTAACAATTTCAGTGGACATTAGGCTCAAATACACTGCTATTTTTAGCCATGTTACTTTTGCCTTCAGTGCCTTCTCCCCACCAAATCAGTGGAATATGGCACCTGAGAGCTTCTCTGGGATGAAATTTAGCCTTGTAATTCCTTAAACCACAATTGGAGGGGGGCGCGATAGGGGCAAGTGCTCCACTGACTTGTAGCTGACACGTACATTGCCCTTGTTATGTGCAGCTTAAAGTTGGAGAGCGGCTCAGTGGGAAAGTGTTCCAGGATTGGCTCAACTTTAGCTAACAGCAGAGACAGCCTAGGTTATTGGAAGGTAGGTATATTAAATAAATAAGCATTGAAACTGCTAGGGAATGCTAGGAAATATCCCATACAAAATGGAGATACAAATAAACTTGTAGCATGACTTTCTTTTAAGGACAACCACTTCTCAGCTTTAATGTGGTCAGCAAAATTATACCATGAACTCAAAATAACCGCTTTGTTCAGTGGGATGGTACATATTATGCATTCCTTCATCCAGCTTTTGTACACAGGGTGTGAGACTGTAGAAAAGATTAATGTGAAATAAATTTTGTACAGTGTGATCTGCATTTATCTCCATGATCCCAGGAGCTGGGAAAGTGCACCTGTGAACATAAAAATAGCTGCAAGTTACCCACATGTACAGGCTGATTCAAGCTAATCTTTCTCCATCTGCTTACGTACGTACTTATGTGGCTGCATGAAGAAATTCAGTGGTGAACAGGCTCTACTTCTTGATAAATGATTCCCACCCCTTTAACTACCAGTGTGGCATAGGGGTTAAGAGTGCAGGTCTGGGATTCAGGTGATGTGGCTTCTGGTCCTTGTTTGGCCATGGAGCCTGCCGGGTGACTTTGGGCCAGTCACAGACTCTCAGCATAACCTATCTCACAAACTGGTTGTGGGGATTAGACTGAGAAAGGGAGGAAGAGAATGATATAAGCCATCCTGAGTTCTTCAAAAAAAGTAAAAGTCAGGATATAGATCTAATAAGTAATATAATATAGAGGAAATTACTATGTTGTCTTTTGGTAACTTGGTTACTGTTCTTGAAGCAGATGTATGGGACAACTTCTCAATCACTATATTCAGCCAATTAATGTGGTGCATTTGACAACCATTAGTGTGCCTTCTCCCAGCCCACCACTTAGCTGTTAACTCTATGTAGGAAAAATGTCACAAGGGGAAGACCTCTGAGATTTTTAACGGTCATGCCAATGCCTGTTAATGTCTTTTTCTCAATGATATTACCAGCCTGCCATTGTAATAATGAAAAGCAACCTGACTAGTGCTGTGGGCTTTGTCTACAAATATTAGTTCTTAAAAAGACAGTGAGAAATATAAAGTCTGCAAGCTGATCATGTATTCAGAGGTTTTAGAAAGGGTTCTGATAGAGGAAGGGTCTTCTTTATTTTGGAGATGCCTCTAACGGCAGCTCTGTAGCTAGGCTGGGACAAACAGGCAGACAGCCTCCCTACAGCTGTGCTTTGCCCCCCCCCCTACTATTTTATTGGAAAACTGCCCTTTTAATATGTGACCTAGCAGATGAAGACAGTCTCCATTTAAAGAAGGATAGATGGTCTTAACAGCAGGAGAGCTTTAAGAATAAGATGCTTTGAAAAATTAAGTGAATGAAGCAATATGAATGCTCAACAGTTGTCCCATCAGGAAGAGCCCCCCAGTGTTTCCTTACAACTTTCTCGGAAGGATGGTGGATTTTTCATGTTAATAATCACTGCACAGTTATTCAAGCCTGTTTAGTAGCATGTTCTTTGAATGGTTCAATATTAGAACTTTGTATTATGGGCTAGGTAGATTTTACCCCTCTTTGACTTTCCTTTTCTCTGTTTTTCAGATTCAGTTGTGGTTTGTACCCAGCCAGCCCTATGTGTTTTCCCCCTGCCCCAGCCAAAAAAATGCCCCACCTAGAAATGTGGTTGCTCCACCTAACAAGGAAGGCTAGCTACAGGGTTGTCTAACAGGAAAAGTCAGTATTTCAATATAGCTCTTGGGATTAATTCTAGTTTATAAGTATTTTAAGCTGTAAACACTTTGGGCATTTTGTTTATTTTTTCTTACATCCATTCCTTAAAATTCTGCTTGGATATTATATAGTTAGTTATATAACAACACAATGTTAAATGGCACAAAGGCTCAGATTGGCCCACTCCTGCGAAGTGAAATGTTATCTCCTTTTGCAACCTGTGCGACACAATCTTGAACCTAGAATTAGTGGAGCAGGCATAACACTTCTTTATGTATTACAATATTCATAATAAATGTATTTATATCCTGCTTTTTTCATACAAACTCAAAGCAGTTCACATCATTCTCCTCCTCCTGCCTTATTCTCACAACAACAACCCTGTGAGGTAGTTTGGGCTTAGAGTCTTTGACTGGCTCCAAGTCACCCAGTTGGCTCAGTGGCCAAGCGGGGACTGGAACCAACCATTGCACTATTTACTTACTCACTTCATGTTTATACCACCCAATAGCTGCGACTCTTTGTGTGGTTAACAAAAGTTAAGAACACACACAAACAGAAATTATTGTAAAATAACAAACCACAATGGCAATTGCAAATGAATCAGCATAGAAGCATAGAGTAACATGCAATATTAAAATAAAGTTAAAAAGTTAAACTGTTATATTGATGTTAGAATAGAAAATTCTTTGCCTGGCACAAATATAAAGTGGGCACCCGGCGCACCGCTTTGGGGAGCTCATTCCACAAGCAAAACCAAAATGTAACATGCCCCGGCACTAGCACTAATGATACACTCACAAAAACCAACATTTGTACTATGTAGCTAGTACTTGCTAGGGCAATAGAAAAAGTGGCAGTTTGGTTTATGCTAGCACAGCATCATTAGTGTGGGAGCACAACTGGATAGCACCCATAGACTCTAGTATTGCTTCCCATGTCCCTGTGATTAGGGGTTACATTTACGCGTACTATATAGCACATACTTGCATCTTTCACGGCTAGATTTTGTCATCTGAGACAAGGATTGAATCTCCTCAGCTACCCACAAACAAAATTTTTGAAATACTTTGGCAAACATTGAGGTGTTAATGAAGTATTAAAACTGAGATTTAATCTATTGTGATAGCTGGCTGTATAAAGTAATATCTGTTGGCATGTTTT